CAGTCTCCACTTGCATTTCGAACTTTCCACCATTGCTTCCTATCATCAAGTATCTGTCATCGTGCAAGAAAATAAAGGCATAATTTTCATATGAAAATTAATCTATGAAGGAAGTTCAATTTTTACTCCTAGGCTTCAGCCAAGAAAAACGTTTTCACCTCTGGTAAATTGACTCAGCATCAACATATTGTTGATAGAACAATTCTCAGGAATTACACTAAGAATGACATGTACTAGCATAGAGTAGGTACAGCATCACTACGGTCAATCTACTCAAGGTCCATATTATCTCTCAAGAATATATCTGCATTATTTGAAGTACTTACAGAGCACTAAGATGACTCTCTTGTAAAGTCCTATTGTCTCCACTTTGGGGATAGAAAGGAAACATATAAAAACCATATTTTTTTTTCTTACAAAATATATTGTGATCATTCACCTTATATATTCAAGATGAACTCTCAGTTATAACCTCAGAAAGAGATTTGGGTATCACGGTAGACTAACCCCAACGCCATTGGCTCACTCATCATTTATGCAAAGACACAAGGATAAAAAGAAGGAAATCTCTTCTCTTACTAAAATATTATGGTGCATCTACATCTGAATTGACAATTAGTCTTGATTTCAAAATGAATAAAGCCCAGAAGAAGGAAGAGGGCAAAGTAAGCCAACAAATCCGTCTTCCCTTCTCCCCCACAAAACACAGATAAAGCAGCTACCCCTTCTAAATAGATATAGACATCTCTAACATATTGAATCTTTAGTAATGTAATACTAAAGAATAATTTTATGACTTCTGCATTTCTTTGAGGAAGGATTAGATATATACCAAAAGAGAAATACGATAAATCCACTTTATTAAGAGTAAGGCAAAAAGGCAAAATTCTATTACCTCTAAAATATCATCCTTTAGAACTGAGAGCTCACTGCTGTTCCTTGCCACAAAGTCATATTTAGATTTGGCATATTTCTTGGGTTGCGTCTTGAGTGGGTCATAATTTCTATAAAAAGGAAGAAAAAAAGATGATCATTTTGCTAACTCTTCCTAAAGGCTGAAAACAGAAGTAAAACATTAAAGCATTAGAGAGTAGTTTAGTTTTATTATATTTTACAGAATACAAGAAATAAAAGAAATGTTGGAGTTCTTACTGTTAAAATGAACAAATTATGGTTAGGGCAAGAATAAACAATGCAAAATCATATGGCCAGTTGGTACTGACCCAAATCTAGAATCCACATCTATGAATTCTTTGCCTATTAAATACACATACTAAATATTTATTTGTTAATTAGTGTCTCTAGCATGAAAAAATGAGGATAAAGATAAAGGTATTTTTCATAAAATTAAAAGAGGCTGAAGATAATTTCCACAATGTTAATTTAAGTCATATTGATTTCATTAATTCAAGCAATGTCTTGAATTCTTTTACCAAATATATATAT